TAGAGAGAAAGAAAGAGAAAGAGAGAGAGAGAGAGAGAGAGAGAGATGAGGAAACATAGAGAGAAAGAAAGAGAAAAAATATGAGAGAGAGAAAGAGATGAGGAAACATAGAGAGAAAGAAAAAGAAAAAATATAAGAGAGCCGAGAATGGTGCGAACGGTCGACTGGAATTAAAAGCGATTTTATTGGCGCGGCTTTCCGCGAGTTGCGTTTTAAATTAAACTCGGTCCGTTTCCATCGCCGTTACGGTGTGCCTAGCGATTACCGTTTATCGATTGGATTACTACCTATTTGATGGGAAGTAAGAGAGAAAGGACACGTGGCTTCTCGTTCAAGCTTGCTGTTCTATTCAAATATATCAAGTCGACGAACGAAAATCAAAAACTATTAACGCCAACTCGAATGTACTTCATGTCTCGTATTTTTTACTTCGAAAATGCTCGTTAGTGATGGAAGAGCCATTCACGTGAAACGATTACGTAGAAGCATAATTTTGAAAAGCACGATTGGCACTTCATACTTTTTGTTTACCTCGTATACCTATTTTAAATATGGACGTTATGCATTGTACATATGTATGACTTTTAAATGGATAAAATTCTTCAAATTGGTTGCTTTCATCATAGAATTCGAAGGAACAAACAAATATGCTAAGAGAAGAAAAATCTCTTTTTGAAATTATAATTAGTCAAGGATTTTTCTAATTCAATCATAAAAAACGACACCGTCTAAATAAACCTACCTCTAATATACTCCCGTTAATTATAAAAGTTCTGTCTTTTCTATGGTTTTCTCTTCACATGACTGATAATAAATAGATCTATATGTCTTTCTCTCTCTCTCTCTCTCTCTCTCTCTCTCTCTCTCTCTCTCTCTCTCTCTCTCTCTCTCTCTCTCTCTCTCTCTCTCTTTCTCTTCACCTCTTTCTCTCCAGTTCATTTCGTGTGAACATGAAGCGAAGTAGAAAACGAAATAGAGAAAGTAAACGCGTAGCACGCACGAGCAATTAAAAGGGAAACGTTAGCGTACGTCGGACGGGCTTCCGTAAGAAAGCGAGAAGAGGAACGGCGCAGTGCGCTGTGAAGCGCGACGAAACGCGGTGAAGCGCGGCGAAGCACCGGTTGCTGGCATTGAAAGGCCGCGGTCGAGAGGTTAATTGCGCGCTAACACAGAGCGTTCTTTGATTACCGTCGCAACGCCTCGCGCGTCTCTCTTGCCCGCCCCAACGATTCTCCGCTTGCCAGGTAATTACGCGAGCCTCAGGTGATCAACCTTTATAAAAGACCCCTTCTTCTACCTTTTCCTCCCTCCCTCTCCCTCCCTCTTTCTCTCTCTCTCTCTCTCTCTCTCTCTCTTTCTCTTCTCTTCTCTTTCTTTTTCCCTCGTACGCTTTAGACCCGCTTTCGTCCGTTCTCCTCTTTTCCTTTTTCACTCCGTATCGAGTTGGAAGGTACTCGTCGGAAGTACGTTCTCTAAGTCACAAAGCTTTAGAGGTATTGCGCCGCCAGTCATTAAGTTCGCGCTTTCGCAATATTCATAGAAGGGGTCCACTCGAAGACGAGATGTAACCCAAAAGAAAAACACTCCAAGCACTTTAACGCCGTAAAACAACAAGAAAGAGAGAGAGAGAGAGAGAGAGAGAGAGAGAGAGAGAGAGAGATATAAAAAGGATATACAAAAAGAATATCGAAATTTTTCAAATTTAGCCCATTATTAAGGTTTAAGCTATTCCGATAATCCCAAAATTAGTATTTCCTCAAATACTCTTGTTATCGTATTTGTCAACTTAATTGCGACGTCTTATTTAATTCTTTACGTAATTAAATCTTTTTTTCACGATTTTTTAGAATAATGAAATAGAATAGAGTAGAAATTTTCAAGAAGTTTTCTATATATATATATGTGAAATAAATAATCCGTTGATGAAAAATTTATGTTGGGAATATCAAAAGGAAAGCCAATTAATCGAGAATTCATGTAATTAGAAATTTTCTCCTACAGATTCATATAAAAATGATCATCATATATGCTTTTCGACAGAATTCTCGTATCTTGTTGTATGTTGTTTTAGAGACGACAAAGAATGAAATAGAAATGAAATAGGAAGAATGAGAAAGAGAGAAAAAGAATATAGAAAGGAGGACAGAGAGAGAGAAAGAGAAAGAGACAGAGAGAGAAGGAGAGAAGGAGAAAAAGGGATGTCAAAAAGAAAGGAGAGATTGATTGATTGCTATTTATTCCGTTCCAGGGTTAATCTCCTTTAGAACGATACAGTATACAAAACTTTCACATTTTTACATGTAACAAGCATGAGACAACAGTGCTACACTGTAAAGGTGTTGCATGTAGTATAAATGATAGTATAGCGAAATATAAGTCACATATGAGATTAATTAGATACTATTGATACAACGAAGAGATGACACACGTTATAGTACTTTCTTTCTATATAAAAATAGATTAGAGTACTATGAAATCAACAACAATAATAATAATAATAATAATAATAATAATAATAATAATAATAATAATAATAATAATAATAATAATAATAATAATGATGATGATGTTAATGTTTATATGACATAAAATATCTGTAAGCAGCAAGTAGTTATAAAAAATAATGATAATAATAACGGAGCTATCCTTGCATTTTTAAATTAGATATAAACGTAAAGCTAATCCTAAAGTTTATACTTATAAACTAATCATATACCTATTTATAACGGAAATGATGAAAACAATTAAACAAACATTGGATTATGTCCGCGTTCATTCAGTAAACATACATCAGCGATCACACACAATCAATAATACATTCACACTTGGCGCTGACAACCAATAACAATGTTAGAGATTACACACACTCAAGCTCAATCACACTCCCGTTGACGTGCACAGCCAAGAATCATTAATACGAGATATTTAGTTACGAGTATCAGCGCGACACCTGAAAGCGTACTCATTGTCAAAGTAAAATTGCCATATGTTGCTGCTGGTCGTCTCACATCGAAATTATGATAATCAACGGTGCAAAAGACGCTTGCAAGACTCTTCGTAGTTTGCACCTGGCGTATGTGCAACGAAAGAGCATTCCAGAACCGGTAAATCAGCAATGCAAGTGAATGAGACAGTGCGGTAGTGCGATATAATGTGTTAGAATTTAATAGTGATCCCAAACGTGAACGTTGGATCCTAATGCCCAAAGGTCTGACCTTCATTCAAATAAAACTTGTAAGGAATCCAGCACGTTGCTTTATTATGAAGAGTATAGAAAGGTATCAAGGAAGTAGAAACATCATTACTAAACCCTGAGCAAACTTAGACGTTCGTAGTATGACGTGATATGAACGTCTCGTCACACACCATAAACAAAGTGAATGCAGGAATTCAGTGCTCGCTATAGACGCATATCGTCGACAGCATGCATATCAATAAGCATCAAGCAACAGTAATTAAAGTGAGAGTAGGTGAAACTCTTAATAAGCTTTGTCTTTAATGAATGAGAGAGTGCATATCTGTTTTTTATTTAAAGATGATAAGAGAGTATAGACCTCATGACATATGTTCATGACATGTTTGCCACCTGAAATTATTCTGCAGATGGACACTAAGTAACTTAATGACACTGTAAAGAGGAATGTCCGTATCATTTACTCTGAGACCGAGGAAACTAAGAACATACACAGATTTAGTGGGAGATTATTAATCGTAAACCCTGACACAATGTGAGTTATATCATTATTGACCTTCGCAATACCATCCGCGAACCTATTAAAGTGTATATTGAGGTAAATTTGAAGATCATCAGTGTACTTGATGATCATACAATGGCGAATCTCGTTACTAATATTCCAGATATATACAGCACATAAAAAAGGATCTAAAACAGAATCCTACAGGACTTTTGAGAAAACTGGCTTTTATAATGAACACATGTTGTCAATTCGCACTGACTAATGATGTTCCGTCAGGTACAACCAGAATCGTCAAAATAATATTGTATGTGAGAAGTTGAAACGTGCTAACTTTTTCATGAGAATCCGCTGATCAATCATATCGAAAGCCTTTGAGAAATCAAAATACGTAAGAGATCCTGCGTTTCTCCTTTATCCTTTTGATTGAAGGATTTGAATTCTGAATCTTAGAATTCTCGCATTTCTGTCGTTCTGGAGATGACGAAAAATGAAATAGAAAGAGAGGAAGAGAAAAGAGAAAAAAAACTTCGTCTCGTAGTGGTCTTCGAACTTAGACATCCAACAAGAGTTCTAAATCGCACGGAAAGAAACTCAAAGTGCTTTCCTTTTATCAACTAACAATGAAAATAGGAATTTAGTCGGAAGGAAAGAGAGGAAGAGAGAAAGAAAAGGAAGAAAAAAAAGTAAAAATAGAAATATATCTAGTACACCTTTGTTGTCTCCTGCGTTCATTCTTCAAGGATTTTGAATCCCATTCTTGAAAAATTGCGAATTACAAAACGCTGCGTAGACAATACGTTTTTAGATAATGCATTTTACCGAATCCCTCTTAGTTAATGTTTTCCATCTTTTCTATCTTCTCCTTCTATCTTCTCCTTCTCTCAGCGATCTTCGTCTTTCTTTCCTTCTAAAAAGAAACAGAACGAAATATTTCGATTTTTCACAGAACTTTTGGAAAAAAAAAAAGAATTTTTCCGTATCGCTGCTCACTAGAGCTTTCGTATATTTCCAAAAATATCTTATTGGAAGAACATTTTTCTCTCGATCATGTTCTTATAACTTTATTTTTTATGACTGCAAATATACATCAAAACCAATACGTTTGTCGAAAATAATAGTATCGATGATTTCCAACTGTTATATTAAAGCATATTTAATTTATACTTAATAGAACGCAATATTGGTCTTATACATTTAATACTGTAATTGCATGATAAAAGCTTAAAATATTCATATTTAATAAATGAAATAAAACAAAATTTTTGCTAATCAAGAATTCCGTTTTTTTCTTTTCGATTGCAGCAACAACAGCAGCAGGCTCAGCAGCAGCAGCAGCAGCAACAACAACAACAACAGGCTCAGCAGCAACAGCAGCAGGCTAATTCGCCTGGAAATGGAAACGTTGGGAAGGGTAGTCCCTCACCGGGAAGTTCAGCCTCTCCCGGTGCGGTTTCAGTGTCGAACAAGCCTCAGACCGAACCGAAGCCGGTCGAGTGCAACTTGTGCCATAGAAAATTTAAGAACATACCAGCGCTCAATGGTCACATGAGGCTACATGGCGGTTACTTCAAAAAGGTAACAGCCTTCCTTTCGAGAAGGCTTTAACATTCGATCCGAAAATTTTCGATAGAACTTTAAGTTAAAGTAGAAAACGACTTAAAAGGAAAAAATAATGAGAGCGGACGGTCTCTTTGCGAAATTTCAAGGAAGCGTCCTTTGAACTTTTAACTTTCCATCGTTTTTCCCTTCCCTTTCTCTCCGTCGTGGATCTTATTAAGGTTAAAGAAATGGTCTGGATGCTGCTTCTGCAATCGTCGAAACAGAAAGATCAGCGATTTCCGAACGCTTTTTCTTTTCCCACTTTTCTTCGACCGAAAGCCCGTCTATGTTGCTCTTACTCATTCTCTCCTCCTTCTCCTCCTCCTCCTCCTCTTCCTCTTCTCCTTCTGCGCTGATTAAAAATGTCTTAACGAACTGCAACGTCGTTCATAGAAAAGTACTGAAAGATTTGCAGAGCAAAAGTTTTTCTCTTTTCAATCGTGGAGAAGATGGAGTGGGGGGTTTTTCTCTGCAACATGGGATGAGGTGAAAGGAGCCAAATACTAGCGCGAGAATGTCTTTTTCCACTTCGATAAACTCTCCAAGAAAGGGAAGAAAGAAGTAAAAGAGAGAAAAAAAGTTCGATTGGAAAGGCAATGCGAATGTGACCAGAGATTTCAAACGATCAATTAATTTCCAGTCCTTCGCAGGCCGCGATTATTTAATGTGTTCTTTCTAAAAAAAAAAAAAGAACAAGTTAGATGCATGAGGAGTCAGTAAAGGATCATCGTTAAGCGACCGTTCTGGTGTTAAAAACAAATATTTTTATTATACATTCATTCTATCTACTTTTTTTATTTACTTCAAACTTTAAAGAAATATTTTCATTTCAATTTCATGAAGTTAAAATTTCGAATTATATCAAAGCAATCAATTAATTCAAGATTGAGTATCGTCAATGATCCGTAGCCATTTCATGGAGTGCGAATAAACGAGCATACGATAAAAAATAATACGATTACAATGATGTGGAGAACGAAACGGCGGAGTAAGTATCGGAACAACTCAGCGGATAAATAAATGGCTAAGCAGAGAGAAAGAGAGAGAAAGAGAGAGAAAGAGAAAGAAAGAAAAAAGAGAGAGAGAGAGAGAGAGAGAGAGAGAGAAAGTGAAAGAGACCGGAATGGATGGAAAGATAAGGCGATGATCAAATCCAAATGAACCCATTAACAAGCTCTTTCGTTCGTCCCAACCTTCGAAGCAGTCCTCATCGAATCGAAAAGAGGAAGAATGAGAAAAAGGAAAAGAGAATGAAAGGGAGTGAGGGGTGTGCTCGATGAGGGTATGAAAAATGAACGAAAAGAGAACATGAGAGAAAGAAAGAGAGAGAGAGAGAGAGAGAGAGAGAGAGAGAAAGAGAGAAAGAGAGAGAGAGAGAGAGAGAGAGAGACGTACAAACATTGTCTCGAGCTTTCTCCATTATGCAAATTGAATTTGACTGGTTACGGTCTGGGTTTGCAACAGTGGTGCTCTCGCTCGAACCAGTCGAGTTTTCATCGTTGTACCGACCCTCCTCGTAGTCCTGTTTGAGTCCTACCACAGCAACGCCCCCGTTCCAAGTCGATTTTACTCGACGTATAGGGCGAGTCCTCGAACCATTGCCTCTTTCATGGCATTGGTCGAACTTTTCGTTCACAGAAAGGAAGAATGAGCGATCGTACGACCACGACCGAGAATTATTGAAAATTTTTGATGATCCTTTCTATGAATATATTCGGATTAATACATGTTCTTTCTCTGTACATTCGATTTCGATACTATGGACACTGCTATTAATAGAACACGCTGTAATAGAAAAGGCAAATTCATTTATAATATATTTTTGAGGTATCTTCTCATACGGACAGTTTGACGTTTTGAAGCAAATAGAGGAAAAAACTTTGGAATTGCTGTCAATTTTCCTGATTTCGAATCTAATCTACGTATTTGTTTTGTCTGATATGTTTTTTTTACTTTCTTTTTCATAAAATTCTCAAACGATTTTTGTTCTATGTGACTGTTTCAATTTGTATTTTGCCGAAACATGATTAATTATATGATTTGTTTTCTATTCGACTTTCAATAAAATTCATATAGAGAAGATTCTAAACCGTCTGATAGAACGGAAGACGAGAAAGCAGCCTATGTGTTCCAAATTCGATGTCGTGACGCGTAACAAACTGATGATTCGTAACAGACGGACGCCTCGCAATCAATTCCGCGCATTAACGGGCAACAATCAATATTCATGAAATGCACGTTGCGCATCCACGTCAAAGACAGAGTTCAATTTCGTGAGAGGCGATATATACGTTGACAAAGGCACACGTACGAGCTAACGTACAGAAGTTCGAGATTGGAAATTGTCGACCGTTAGAATGATCGCGACTAGTTACGTACGGTATCCACCAAAGATCGTTGCGCATTTTCACACTTGCAACAATTAACTCTTCCATCTATGTATAAATTCTATTTGTTTATAATATGCAAACATGATCACTCAAAAAAATTTATTTCAAATTATTTCTTTAAATGTACATCGGTATAAAAATGTTAAAAGTGACACAATGACGAAAGAAATGTTTGATTCTCGTTAGACTCTTAGATCTCAGTAGGACATCGAGAGAGGCTCGACGAGGTGGCTCTTGATCTAGTATCCCGTGGGACGGTGTATCACACACGCCAGAGATTCCATCATGAGATAATCGAATGGGCGCCTCAATTAGCTTCGCTCGGTGATTAGCGTGCCTGTCCCGCCCTCTCCTGAACAGCTCACCCTAGCCCACCTCTCCAATCTCTATCCCAAGCCCCGTCAATTTAATCGCGATACAAGCCTCTAATTCATGATCACTCGTCGCGAGTTCCATAGTGGTTGGACCATCCAAAGTCCTGGATAGAAGCGGAAGTCCTGGATAAGCCGTTGTAAAGTTCTCGCGACTGATCGAGACTCGATCATCTCCGTTGCTGTCTTCGCTGAGAGAATCTCAGCTAACGAGATTTTCGAGATGCCTCTATTCTCGCGACAAAGGAACATCAATGCTCTCTACTTCGCTAACTCGATAACACGCTATGGAATATCGATTCCTACGATTTTCTATGACAATCTTGTTTTATCCACTTTAGCCACGATCGAAAAAATCGATCTACCTATTCACAAAACTACTATTGAAACGTTTTCTTAACGAAATACTATCGAACGCTTGTGTTTTCAATATATTCACTTTATAGCTCAGACATTCAATCTCATAGCATTTTAATAACTCGATCCTTTATCTTTATTCTTTAGGACGCCGAGAATAAGAAGAGTGAGAAAAAAGAAGTCGTAGGACCTCCTCTACAAACGGCCTCGGTTAGCGTCAGAGCACTGATCGAGGAGAAGATCATTCAAAAGAGAACAACCGGTACGTATGAATTTTTTTGACGGACACTGATATATGTATAATAATTATTTATCTAAGAAAAATTTTTTAAATAAAAATGAGATATGATTTTTCGTATACGAAATAGTAGAAACCGATACATTGTGAAAGCCGCAAATGCGATTTCGGTAGTATATACGTATATATATATATATATATCGTAACACGTTTCTCAGTTTAGTCGACAAAGTCGTCCTTTCGAACAAATCACTCTTCTCTCCTTCCTCTCTCTCTCTCTCTCTCTCACTCTCTCTCTCTCTCTCTCTCTCTCTCTCTCTCTCTCTCTCTCTCTCTCTCTCTCTCTCTCTCTCTCTCTCTCTCTACCTGTCTCTCTCTTCCTCTCTCAGGTACTCGCGTATTTGACAGCGATATTTTGTGAGTGTGCGCGCGCGTCCATCGCCATAGTATGCCATGAACTGCCGAAGAAGCGTGATTTACGAAGCGAGCACGCCAGAATATTTCTCGCATTGTCCATGTCGAGGCGATAAATCAAGCGACGGTGGAGAATGGTGGAAGCGAAAGCAAAACGGACGGGGCAGAGAGGAAAGGAGGAGGCTAACCGAGCGTGCTTTTGTAACGGAGCGAGCATCGTTAGCGATTTATGCTCGATCTCACTCAGCTCCGTTTGCCCAAAAAGTACGATAGCAAGTTGCTCGAGAGGCTGAATTGTAAAATGAGACGTGCTTTTATTTCGATAGTAAAGAAATATATAGCGTTTATGAATATTATTGATGATGGAAACCATATGATTTTAAAGAAAGTGATAACAAAATGACAGGATATCGATTACTTACAATATTCTACATTTAAACTTTGAATAGTAGGAGATTCGACATTTTTAAAAGGGATGCAAAAAAGAACTCGTTCACATTAAAAATCAATAGTTCCTGACTATTTTATCTTATCTATTTTTTTTTTTTTTTTTTTATAAATTTTTTCCTAAATTTTTTTCATAAATGTAAAATAAAAAGTAAAGAAAGTCGAAGGTGGAAATATGGAGATAAGAGGAAAAACGAATTAAAGTGGTAGATATGTATGTATATATGTATGTATATCTCGTGGCGTGGGCTTGCAGTCAGAACGTGACCCAGATAAGTATTCATGAAATCGTTGTGGAAAAGTTTCGTCCGGATATAATTGTACGTTTACATTCTTCTTTATAAATCCATTCGTCCCTGTGGTCAACATGTACACGTAATTACATACATCACTTTCTACACACCAACGTGTGTACAACAGACATATATCATATGTCGAAAAATTTAATAAGTCTAAATACGAGATTATTATCTTTGATTTAATTATTATATTTTAAACGAATCTTTCACTTTTACGAATTATTGTTGAAATTTTTACAAAAATTTTTCATCGAATGTCATAGAGATTTTAATTAGCTTAATTCATTATCGTTTGCTTGAATAAATAATACATGGTTCGCTGGTTTACAGCATTAAAATTATCGACAGTATACATGCTCGTTATATATATACAACGAAATATATTTACGTACAACGTTAATTTTTCAAACGGAAACTTGATAAAAATACGATCAAAAATGCTTTCTATCTCTCCTTTATGTTTTGATTTAACAGCAAAAATTTAAATGGAGAAACCTACGGTAACTCTTTCACTCTAGTAAGTCTTTTTATTTTATCTACTGTTATACGGAAGATCATCCAAGAGAAAAATGTACGAAAGGAAACTTTTTACTCTCAATACGTACATAGATGTATGTATATACCTATCGACGTATATGTATCATATATATATATATATATATGTATATATAAATATGTTTTCCGTTGCATGTATAATCGAGCTCCTATTTCATAATTCTCATTGTGTCTTTTTCTACTATTTTGCAAGTTACTTTAAATTACCGAGAATACTTCGTTCAAAGTTTATTTTCAAATTTTATTTCTGGGAAAAATAAACACCTAATTTTGCTTAACAAATAAATATACGCAAATTAACGCACGTAAGATGAAAAATGCTTTTTCAAGGATGAGATGTAGCGATTGTAATATAAAAATTTGATTCTAGCAGCGGACGCGAACATCAATCAGCAGCCTCGGGCAAACAGTAGTAACGTGTTCACGAATCAAGTCGATGGTGGTTCTCAAATCAACGGGAAAACTGGTTTTGCTGTACCTGCACCTCCACCTTTAGCGGCAGGCGAGAAAGTACGCAGGCTTTCCGATGGAGAACATTTTCGGCAACCGAACGTCACCGTATGTGGACATACGACTGTGCAAAAACAACTTCAAGAAGCACAAACGCAAGCACAAGCGCAAGCATTGGCCGATATGATATTGAAGGTCGATTTTGATTCGTTGAATGACTCGATCTGAAATCCTGTCAAAATCTTATTCAGTCTATTTGATCTTATCTATTCTTTATAGAATACTACCAAAATGGCTGTGAAGAGGACTACGTCCGACCCTGGACAGAGATTACATCTGACGTATCAACCTTCGGTGCAATCTGCAGCGAATAGTCAACAGCAGCAACAACAACAGCAACAGCAACAGCAACAACAACAGCAGCAGCAACAGCAGCAACAACAACAGCAGCAGCAACAGCAGCAGCAGCAGCAACAACAGCAGCAGCAGCAGCAGCAGCAGCAACAACAACAACAACAACAACAACAACAACAACAGCAACAACAACATCCGAACAACCAAACTCAGGCAACACCTGCCGTCACAGAATCATTCACAATGACGGGATACTCCGAGGATGGTGGCTATTTCAGCCCAAGTCTACAAGACGAAGTATTTCAGCAGGTTACTGCCGTACCGGATAGTGTTCTTCTTCATGCTACTCAATTGGATTCCATTCAAGTAAATATCTGATATTTTTCGATTAATTTCCATACTTTTTCTTTTATTTCTTGTTCGTGTCTATTGCTTCAATGTCGTCCACTTTATCAATTATGAGAACGTAGAAGAAGCGACTAACAAAATTGAACATCAACGCTTCATTTCTCGTTTGTTATATTTTTCGATTTATAGTTCCATCGTAGGAAAATGAAGGAGAACGCGTTAGCGAAGGCGTAGAGAAGATGGCAAAGAAAAATAAAAAGAAGCCTCGTTCAGAAGGCGTGTAGAGACAAGATATTCTTTGCTCTTTGACGTTCATAATTAGCCTTACTCCGTCGCTTTATGCATTCCGCGCTGAAAATGTTGTAGTTACAATTATGTCACAGTGCATGGTTGGATCATCGACCAAGGCAAAATCTAATAAGGGGAATTATCTAAGTAGTTGGCAGCGAGTACGCTTTGCACCGTTTGAAAAGCGACCGTAGTCTTCTCCTACTTTTCTCCCTTGCTTTGCCATCTGTCCCTGTCACCAAGCAGTCTCGTTAACCTCCGGCTTTACGGATACCAGAGACTCTACGCTGATGTCGTGTACTTTCCTCTTTCTTCTTGTCCTTTCCTTTTACGAATGACATCGCCCTCTTTCATCCTACAGACGACTACGAAGCTTTAATCGTGATTCAAGGTAGACGCGTATCCGTATAATTTCTGCTCTCCATAAATTAATGTTAATCTCCCTACTTCTCCGGTTCCTCCTAAAGTAAAAATGTATTTCCACTTTTTTTTCATACTTAACTACTATGATTTGTGTCAACAAATCGTTTATTGTCGATATAAAGATTTCTGAACATTTTAATGACAAAAGAAACGATGAGAAATTTCGAAAAAATCAATCAAATCGACAATTCAACTACCTTCAGTTTCAGACTGCGAGCTTGTTACAAGAACAATCCAACGAGCAATTGCAGGACATAACGCTTGAGGACAGATACTCGTCGCAACACACGGTCAATCCAGATCTTCAGGCTTTAGTAAACTCGCCGCTTCCAGATTCTTTAGCAGAGTTCAGTACCTACGGTGCCCAATATACAGAAAGTCCACATACTTTGCCAACACAGTCGCCATTACCATCTCCGCTTACCAGACATGACAGTCCCAGTTTCACATATCCAACACCACCGGCCAGTCAGGAAGGACTTCTCACCGGAAATCTTCCTTTGTTGAGCCCTCAAGAAGACCCCGAATCGGTCCGTCAAGTTTCGTCGCCTTTATCGGCGGCTTTCTACACGACGACGATGTCTTCGGCTGCAGCAGTGGAAGAGGCTTTGAGCGAAGTCTTGCCTGGCGAATCGGAAGCAGATGCGGATCTTTACGGGTCCGGATCACCAAATCCACATTCACCACTGCCAAGTCCACTCTCGGCAACGCCAGCACCTTCTCCTCTTTCATCTTTGCCACCGTCTTCGGTGTCTTCTCCTGGGCCCGTTACCTTCACCAGTAGCAACTTCCCCGTCTCACCACATCACGCTCTTCAAAGTCAGATGATGCCAAATTCGGAGGATCCGCTTTTATCGTCAGCACCGAAAGACTTCACTACCGCTGGTCGACGTAGATTCGAATTTCAATCGTACAAGCTCATCAGCAATCAAAATCTCGTCGATTTTGGCTTAGGCAACGGTAGTCTCGCCAGCATAGTCGTCGACAATAACGGCGAGTTAAAACTTATTCAAACAGCAGGTCTTCAGAAGGCAAATGTTCTTGTGCAAGCGGGCTCTCTTAGCCCAGCAATTACATTCAAGAAGGAAATTCGATTGGCCACACCAAAAGTCGATCCTGTTACCATAAATCTCGGCTTAAACGTACAAACACAAAATCAGTATAACACTGGGCAATTCAATCAGCAACAAGTCGTCAATCCGGCCAAGTTTCTCGTTCAAACTAGTCATACCGGGAAGAATAACAATTCAAGACAAAACAAAAGTATGATAGGAAATCTTTCGATTCCGGTAGAACAGATAAAGGAAGAGCTGTTGGACGAGGACGTATTTCTTAGTCCTAGTAGCGTTTCTGCTGGCAGTCCGATGCGTCAGTGCAAGAAAAGACCACGCATGGATGGTCAATATGCCAACAGTTCACATTCGTATCCATCGAAATTGAGGAAACTCTGCGATCGGCATTGGGACAGTAGTTACACCCCACCGCCCATATTGAATCCTTCTCGTCTTGGTCCGGGACTCTACGCGAGACTGCATCAATACGAAAAAGACTCGGATTTTAGCTCGGATGATTCTCAAGGAAACGAAGGTCCCCCACCTAGAATCAACATAGGCACTAGATATCAACCCACTATTCCACCATTGGGTTCCGATGTAGACAAAGGGAAAGGAGGACCCGAAGAGGACCATCTTCTTTGGGATCCAGGCATAAATGATTTAATCACCAACAACGAGCGTGAGTTATTATCTTATAAGACTCATTTAAACATTCATCAACGTTGGTCATAATTTGAATTTTTTATAAACTCTACATTATTTTCTATTTCAGTGGATATGTACTTACATTTTGCCTGTTGTGCTGGCATACCAGGAGGTGGTAGAAACACAGAGTATGCGTTTCATCTATTACACATGTGCAAAGGAAATATTCATGTAAGGGTCTATCCCAAGATGATCATAAATTTCATCTCAACTGTATATTAGAAAAGAATTCCATCTCCGTATGTGTTCCAATATACGATACTAATAGATAATACGTAATATATGCAGGAAGCTATGCTGAAATTGATGAGACCAACACCCACGTTACCTCCCGAACATCCGTTGCTTAGCCACAAATGCCACGAATCCGATCGTTGGACAGCACACGAGATGGATACATTCTATCAAGGATTACTCAAATATAATAAGGATTTCTCATCAATTTCGCGAGATGTAGAGACTAAGTCCGTTAAGCAATGTGTGCAATTCTACTACCTCTGGAAAAGACTCTGTCCCGATGATTATAAGAGGCTTCGCGTTCATCATGGAAAGCCAAAAATCAAGAGCGAAAGAAAGGATTGTAACGATATGAGAGAACTTCGCGACGCTATTTCCTCCGTTACGGAAATGGACTTTAGCGAAGAGAAATCAATCATTCATCGTACTTTGGTAAGTTTATTTTCAACAAATTTTCTCGATTAAACGTCATTAATTCTTTTTATCTTTAAAATTAATGTCTAATTCGTCTTGCCATGAAATTTACAGTTACAGACAAACGAAAGAGAAAACTCAGCAACTTTCACTACCAGCGAAGGAGAATTAAGATTATTCGCTTATGATTGTCCGGATGTAAGTTTCATTGTTTATGTTATATATGTTTATTGTACTGTCGCTATCTTATATTTTCTGCTACCTATTCACGAAATATTTTATCAAAGATATGACTCTACGAATTATTATTATATTACTCGAACATTTGTATATTACTGCCAAAATGAAAATTGAGATATTTATTAAATATATTAAATATACTTATAAAATCGTGATTATAAAATAAAGTCTTGGTGAAAATATAGGACATACAGAAAAGTATAATTTATTTAATATACTGAGCACGAAAGTCTCATTTATAAAATTTTCAAAATCGTCACTCGATAAAAGCTCACAATTTTCAATGTTTGCTTGTTTAATTGTGCTCAGCATGCTATATCTATCAAAGACAATCGATTTGTACCCTATACGGAGTATGCATTCGCCGTGTAAGACATTACATGCGTATTTACGTATTTGCGCGTGAACGTTTCTATCAGTGTCGCATGTGATTTGTTGTTGATTCGTCCATTTTTTCACGCTTTCTTTATTAAACGTTTAAAAAGAGACGTACTGCGCGTGTTCTGCGCTGATCCTTGTATTTTTTCATCTGTCGTCGTTGTCGTTTGTTTGTGTTGTTTATTTTGGCTTTGTGTTTTCTTTGTGTTGTCAGAGCTTTAGCGGAAGTGTAACAGTAACGATGGCCGGGAGCACCCAAATCGCCCAAACCGGCAAAACCGGCCAAGCCACAGTCAACACCAACTCACAAACTCACACTAGTTCTGAGCAACAACTACCCGTGCCTACCCCACTTCACTACCCCTGCAAGATTTGCGGGAAGTAAGTCTCCAATCTCTAATCTAAATTACCCATTTCCGATAATCGAAGGAGAGAGTAATTTAACTACGCTACGAGTGGCAAGTATCGGTTTTACGCATACGCGACGATTGATACTCGAAAGCTTTTAGAAAACCAAAAGAAGAAAAATCTTTCTTTTCAGAAAGTAACATGCAGCTAGGTTCCCCCTTTAATATAAGATCATTTTTTCGCACGAGATTTGAGCATAAAGGAATGTTACCACCTCGTTCCTATTTTTACACACAAGTCATACCATACGTACTGTTACGACGATGAAATAAGCAAGTTATGAATAATAGGTTAAAAAGCATACTTCTGTTGCATCCAACTTGTCCTTTTGATTAGCAAACTCACGCTACGTTAATGCTGATTAACGATTTGCAGCTGGTGTTACCTTTAATCTTTACTACAAAGCACATGTTAGTTTGCAAACCTCATTTTTTTCATATTACCTTACATTTATTTGCTCCTTCACTATTCTAAAGTATCTACACTATGTCAATTTTAACAACAATCGCACAGCTCGTCTATCAAATACAACGGATATGTAATCTTACACATATGTGTGCTGCAAGTACCTTGAAAAGCATGACATATGTTATATCAACGAGTGATCGAAGGAGTTCAATGTTCTTTCTTAAAAAAGAAGAAAAATAATAAATTCATTTCTTTTTGTTGCATCGTCAATGATATGAAATAATCTCAAATTCAACGAATACGATATTTCTTCTTGCAGAGTTTTCAACAAAGTGAAAAGCAGAAGCGCGCACATGAAGTCACACAGGCCAATACCATCCCCCGATTTTACGGGTCAGGAGTCTAAACGGCCGGCGCAACAATCCAAGCTACAACAGTTGCAACAACCGAGTCAACAGTTACGGCAGCAACAGCAACAGCAACAGCAACAACAGCAACAACAACAACAACAGCAACAACAACAACAACAAGTACAACAATCAAGTAGTGCATCGCCAGAGACTCAAGAATATCAGCAACAGCAGCAAGTATCCTTAACGAATGGCGACATCAGCGCTCAAAATGCAGCGCATTTATGGCACAACCCTACAAGACTTAGGCCACCATAGGGGGAGACCCACGTAGTTCAACTTAAGTTATCTTAACGAAGACTGTAATTCTAACGGTAGGAATTTTGATTACGATCGCACGATAACATAGGCAGGTTCTTGTTTATCAGTACGCGATATCACGGTTATCTCTTCCTACCTCAATGAAATGACGAAAAGAGTAAGAGAAAGAAAGAAATCTGAACGGCATCGCCCGCTCCACAAAAAAGCAAACGTGCTCGAAGAAATATGATTCACATACATACACACGCACACAAACACTCATACACATAGAGAGATACACACATATTTCAAGGATTATCATCTACAAAAGTAATTCTTTTCGAAATAAGAATACATTTTATTTGCGATCACAAAAGCTGCGGAATGGAAGCTGAAGAAGATGAAGAAGAGAAGATTCATACAGGACATAAGAAGTAAGCGCTTTTAGCCGGACTATTACTATGAAATCATCGGATAGGTATCAGGCATACGAAATGCACACACGGTGAATTTTCGCGAAAAAATCCGAACATCGTACGCTTCAGATCGCTGCGTTGCCTATGAAGTGATAACGATAAGACGGCTCCTCTCGAAACATGCAACCAAAAATTTCGAACCTCTGTTCTATGAGGAGACAGGGTATTCGATCGTAATACTTTTTTTTTTCTTCCTAATAGAAAAATTACGAAAAAACGGTGAAAATTAGGACGCACGTTTATCGTCGGCAACAAGATAATGCCAACAGAATTTCACCTCCATCGATGGATATGGCCTAACAAATAAAAAAATAAATAAATAACAAACCGAAGAAATCAACGTATTATAAAGTACACAGTGGATAGGCAAGCGAAATATCGATTACCAGTGAAAAGCGTAAATCAAATGGCGAAATATAAAGCTAGTGCGCAGTCGCGAACAAATATTTGATATATATACGAAAATCGCGATTTGGAAGAGGGATGTGTACTTATTTATTATGCACGTGAAATGTTCCCAAATTATGCCACAAGACATTGCTGTTACCTGTTGCCACTTTATCATTCTTTTTTAGTGACCTAATAATGTTTATCTTTTCTCTTTTTTCGATTTCTTTCTTTCACCACGAGGATCAAATTACGAACATTACTTTTCATGTTACACGAGTAAACAATAATTATAATATTTAACGAATCAATTGTAAAGACTATCATATTCTGTCAAAAGATATTATAAGTGAATCTATCAATTTCTCATTAGGCAATTTATAATTTACATTTTAGAATTCTACTTCGCCCTACATTTTTTATGATTATAAAGAAGAAAGAGAAATGATTCGAAAATTGATCCTAGAATGGAAGAAACGATTGCTTGTACGTTTTCTAACTCTTTGTATTTAGTTATTTTATTATTAGCATATGAGAAACGATCGATAATTAGTCTTTACCGTACGCACATAAGATCATTGAAAAGCTTCCTAATTTCCTTACCTCTGTTATACGAAGCATTAACAATATTCGATCGTATAAATTCTAATATATAAATATATAAATATATAAATATATATATATATATTGATATATAATACATATATATATTGATATATAATTGAAAATAATTTATAGTCTAGGCGAAATAGTTCTCTAACAAGAAGGTTGTTCAAGTTTCGCTCGGAGATGTCATGTGACAATGAGTGTAATATAACGAGTACATATGCGCTAATGCATAAATATTATACATATTTGCATTCAGTACTGGCAGAGGATAGAGAAGTTTTATTAAAAATATGACTAAAATACTGGTTATTAAATTGCTATGTGTACATAATATGTGTACATGTCTGTACATATATACATCAGTGTCTGTATGTACAAGTAAATGAAATTTATGCATATTAAGTAGAATAGGTTTTAGGTTGTTTTAGAAAGATTCTATAGGTACATAAACTAAGTATATACACTTTACTTGATTTTCTATCTTACTAGGGACTACGTGGCGAGACTCTTGCAAAAACAATGATGGGCCGCACGATTTTAAAATTAATCAGGAATAATGCTTCCTTTTTTTTTTTTTAGATGGACACGATGTAACGATGTTCCTATATGTAAGGTGCCTTAAGACGAAACCGTTTTATTTTTCTCTTATATTATAACTTTTTATCCGTGCTCGTGATCTTTCTCGTATTGCTTTTTAAATATCAGACGCACGTTTTGGTTTATATTTAACACGATGAGTTGCGTTGAATTTTACTGACTGAAACATGATATATTTACTTACGTACTTTTGTATTTGAGTCAGATCCTAATCTTTATCTTTTTCTATTTATATATGTATATATAGGAACATCTTTTCCAAGAATTGCATACAATATGTTTGAGAAAGACAAAATACATTGCGAATCAAAGCAATGACAAAAGGCGTTCTAAGGTTCTATAAAGTGTTGAAATATATATGTATATTAAGTTTCATTTAGTGAAACTCTAAATTGTTATTCAAGAGAGTTGCCACTGATCGTAGACGCTATAATTCTATCTTAAAAATATTGTTACTGTTAACACTCTTCTTCTTATTAACTTTTACCATTAAATAAATCACCATATACATTTAAACTTTTTAAACTTTTCTCAAAATGATTGCAAAGTGACTGAGGACGCTTTAAAAGAATCTGCCAAGTCTTGATAACTTTTAACAGTGGCTTTTAATCTTCGACTTGTTTCTGTAAAGAGTCCATGATTATTCGGTGAAGGTCTGGTGTCGAAAAGGGGGAAAACATTTCTCTTCGGGCATTAAATGATCAGAATACGATGAAATTTCAAATAATCAATACGTCAGCGCATAATCTTAATTTTCAATTATTTCTTCCTAATTTATAGAGACGATACAGAAATTAGACACCAAACGTTTCGACCATGATTCTCCATTATTTATATTATATATATATATATTTATTTAACTATTTATTATTTAATTTTCTAATTATCTAATTTATTATTTATTTATTTAACTGCCTACGTATGTATTTATTTATTTATTTATCTATCAATATAGATAACATATTATTAATCCAGCGGAGTATGACAAAGGGAATTGCTTTAATTTCTTCTAAGAGATCCGATGTATCCTCTATTCGATATAAGATTCTTTTCACTGCTTGTTAACTTACAAAGCTACAAAGACATTGTCAGTCCGATATTTCGTGTGTCATTCCGGTTAGATTCATACGTGTTAATCACGATGCTACGAATATTTTTAATGTCCATGGAAGCACTCCTTTTGTGATCGTAAAGCATTCTTGCTTTTGTTACGCCTGGGTAATAGCCTCCAGTACGAACGACAGAACGTAGAACTAGAAATCTATATAATATATATAAGGTTCTAGAATTTCGAATCTTAAAATTAGTTTATTTAAGAATAAAATTGTTACGTATTCCGACCACGGGCTCGAGGCATAGGTCGAAGGCAACAAAATTAGCAGACATATCATTTAAGACAATACAATTGTTACAGAAACTAAGTTTCTACTAATATAATTATTATTATACGTAATGTAACTCTTAAACAAATTTAGAGATTCAAAGGCAACGGCGTAGATAGTGATAAATGGAATGAAGCGATAAAATTCTTTGACTCTGCAAATCCAGAAATCATCAAGATCAAATTATTTGTGAAAATATCATTTTAATTATTTTAAAGCAGTAGCTCTGGCATTAAAAAAAAAAAAAAGACGACTTAACAGTCGTCATTTCTTTGTCGTACCCTATTTTAATCAAAAATCACAGAAATATATCGTTTTTATGACGAGATATCTATGATCACAAAAAATTAACTGAAAATACCGACATCTGATTTTCTACTTACTATGCGAAGGCTTATAGTAGTAATATCTGGATTTGGAGCAGTATGGCTATGTAACGTATAGAGCTGCTGGAGGCTGCTTACTCAGACAATGGAGAGAAGGCATAACAAACGAAGCAATGAAATAGTAACGAAGATATGCATGAATTGTACAAACGAGTCCCTCCACGTCACAGAAAAGAATGATATATATATCTATATAAAGAATATATATATATGTATAACAAAAATGATAAATATGTGATGTATTTAAATGATATGTGGTAAATGATATTACATTATTTGTACATAGACGGACCCGTGCCATCAACTAATGAGTTGTACCGATATTATTACTGCCATTAGTCCTGTCGCAGTAACATCGAGTTCGATGAATCTGGATGATATATTAAACGCATCAAAGAATGTATTTTTTATTTTTGTTTTCATATCTTTCAATAGACTATTTTTAATGCATAAGATTAGACGAAAAAAAAAAAACTAATTAAGATTATTTTAACATCATCATATGGATACTGGAACGAAAATACTTCATCGTTCATCGATTCGTTTGTTTCCATTTCGTTTAATTAATACATTAATACATCTATCTCGGCGAACTATAGTTTTAATTTTTATAATTTCTTTTTTTTTACTTTACGCATCTATAACAACAAAATTTCCCAAAGTGAATGATTGATTTTTTTGCAATGATATCGCGTTGGCACATTTCTCATGTTTTATGGCACAAACAATAACTCGTATGTTGCATAAGATCTCGATAATCGTTAACTAATACTAACAATAGCGAAATTTTTAATGTCTTTTCCGCGGTATATTGGTACAACTCGACGAAGAAAGTGTAGCATGATTATACACTCGAGAAATGTGCTCACGAATACCGCATTGAGGAGATAAAAAAAGGCTATTAGATGACTTTTACGGAAAATTACTCTTAACAAGTGAAAACTTATTACAAATTATCGATATTGTAATCTATTTGCCCTCTTACCTATTACCTACTTTAATGTCTATCTCTATACACCAGCATGGTTCTTTATACTCTTCTATTTGATGTTATAGTATTCTCTATCAACTTTTACTACAAAACGTATTGTTAATGATATTTTTAATGTACAAGGACGTGGTCAGCTGTAGGTCGTCCCACGATCATCTTCACTCTCACAATCTTGTGAGGCGACGGCCGATTTTCAATAACAAAAGATAAGAAAATAACAAAAAAAGAAAAAAAAAAAAAAGAAAAGAGGAAGCAAGATCAAAAAATTAATCTCACAATGGGAATAGATCGAAATAATTTGACCTGTTTTGTCAAATATTCTGTATGCAAGACAAAGAGAGCTTAATGTTAGCGTGAAAAAAAAAAAATACAAAAAGAACGGAAAATAAAATATAAAGGAAAAGGCTAATGTTCGTCGTGTTATACGAGTTATCGCAATAAATTCGATAAATAGATAACTTATAGGACAGAGAGACTCGTTCGTATTTAGCAATATCGCGACGCGATTTCCATTATCGTCGTTTTTCCACTTCTCTGCTCATACGGTTGCTATCGATAAGTACCTAATATTATATACGTTTAGATTCTTCACCTCGTTAGACTTTTAAGCGTAACGCGATATATTTATTATTATCTATATCCATATACAATTTACGTATGCGTGCCGAGAGAATGGCGGCTCTACTACCGATATATTTATATATGTATATATCAAAATCGCTCGAAGGTTGACGCGACAAGCAATATGGACAATATACGTATATTTATTAAATGCGTTAAAGAAACGTGGGCCGACTACAGCTGGCCAAGAATGAAAGGAAAAGAGAGTCAGGTAAATAAATAGATAAAGAGATAGAGATAGATAGAGAGAAACAGAGAGAAAGAGAGAGAGAGAGAGAGAGAGAGAGAAAGAGAGAGAGAGAGAGAGAGGAAGTAAAAGAGATCTTCTTTAAGTCTTACCTATAAAACGCATGTAACGTGAGATGCCCGGTTGACTTTTGAAAAAGGAACATTTGAAATTTTTAACATCTTTTACTTCAACGTTTCGATAGTCTTTTCGCTTAAATAATTAGATATATGAGAAGAAAGATTTAATCAACAAAATCAATAATAGTTCATTAGAAAAAATTTTATTTTATTTTATTTATTTCAAACGTGATATTGTTACTACATTTAAACATTAGTGGAATTAAATCGTATTTTGAATTGATTCGAATTTTCAATAGGAAACCGGGACTCACGTCATATTTAAGCATAGTTCAGTCAATTTGAAGCGCGACGTGGTACCGAGTTGCCAACGAAAGTAGGGCCTAATCGAACGTGAAACCTATCGACAGATTCTTCGATTAAAGAAATTACGATAAAAGAAAAGAAAAAAAATAAGATCGTGAGAAACCCCTCCCCCTATGAGAGAAGGCAAGAAAAGTCCCCTTCTTCCCTTTCAAAGTGAAGCTTAGCAACGAGAACGTACGTACTCGCATCTTCGTCCATGTTGATTATAGAAACGAAGAAAGAAAAAGAGAATAAAAGAAATAAATAGAAGGAAATGAAGAGAGATTCTTCGAACCTAGAACAAGTTTTTCTCTTGTAAAATCTTTTCGATATTCGCGTCAAGAAACGATCTTCTCGATCTCCTCTTGTTGGGCGAAACGCAGAGAGGATAGAAGATGAAAAAGGAGAAGGGAGAAAAATTCAATATACCGATTACTGACTAAACAAGCAAACAGTTTAGGCAGGGCAACGAGCGGCTGCGCATCAGTATTACATTAAAAGCGATACTTAGACATATAATAAAATTAAATGATATAAATTATATTACGTATACATATATACCGTTTTATTTAATATATGAATATATATATGTATACATATATATATATACACATATGTACATATGTATATATATATATGTATATATATGTATATATACATATATATAGATGTGTATATATATATATATATATATATATATATATAAATATATATATATATAAATATATATATATATATATATATATAAATATATATATATATAAAATATATATATATATATATATATATATATATATATATATAGATGTAAAAGAGAAGAAAGATCAACAGTACGTGTTGTGTACATATGCACACATATTTATATATATATACATATATATATATATATTTATATATATATATTTATATATATATACATATTTATATATATATACATATATATATATATATTTATATATATATATTTATATATATATACATATTTATATATATATACATATATATATATTTATATATATATATGTATATATATATATATATATATATATATATATATATACATACACATCAGCGTATACGTATTTATGTATATGTACGATGAGATACAGAGGCACTAAATCTTTGATGTTGTTTGTTAATTAAGCTCCATGATTAATACAGGAAAGCGACCGATCGAATTTTCGGTAAACTTTGAGAGTCTTGAATGAACAAGCTCTTCTCGAAGGATAAACTCGTGTATGCCTATTTCACGTAAAAAGAGAACGAACTGTTTAGAACAGAAGAAAAGGAATATCGTGGAATACAAAAAAATATTAAATGCCTAAAGTTATACAAGAAGAAAACATCGAGAGGTTACCGAAACTTCACGGTCTTACGAGCACGATTTATTAAATGTATCATTAAATACTATAGAAAGAAAGAAGTGAGAGAAAGAGAGAGAGAGAGAGAGAGAAAGAGAGAGAGAGAGAAAGAGAGAGAGAGAGAGAAAGGGAGAGAGAGAAAGAGTGAAAGAAATGTCGCGTATGAATGAGAGCGTATGAAAGGTAAGAAAGATAGAGACAAAAAAGGTTTTAATACTCAGATGTAATGAATGATTTAACCGTCGTTTTCAAAATGAATATGTAAGATTAATGCTGAGTATATAAAGTGATTATATTATATATATATTATTACGACATTGCATACTAAGTATATGTATATGTATGACGATATATCTATATATACATATATATATATGACTATTTTCTTCTATGAATATTACGAGTGACTGGTGTGTGTTATTTTCATCATACGTCTAAAGACGCTCGGCATAACGCGAGAACGAATAGCTAATTGATCTCATTGTTGGAATAGAATTGGATTTAAATTGGCGAAATTTTAATAAATCGCCTTACGAACGAATCAAAATCGGCAAATTCCGTACACGTTGATTCGTTTTATAAGACTACGTGAATACTTTCCTAGTAACATAAAGAAAATAAATAAATAAATATTTCGTCTCGCTAAAGGTCGAGCGTCTTCTCGTGAGCTATCTCAACACTGAGTTATACAAAAAAAAAGGGCGAATCACAAAAAAAGAAAGATATATGATGTGTAAGCCAAGTGCCTTGTGTTCTGGTAACTAATCGTTGACTTTTAACTATGATATTAGACAGAGTGAGAGAATCGGGAAGGAATGTGGGAGAGAGATAATCGGAAATAATTAAAAAAAAAAAAAAAAAAAAAAGAAAAAAAAACCGATACGCGGGAATTGGAAAAAATAAATGTTGAGAATTTGGTAAGGATAAGGAAAATATTCAAACGAGATCTTCAGCAAAAACTAAAAATATTATTATACGCGATTACGTTTCAGAGTCGACGAAGCAAGACGGAATCAATATCCTAGTTATTTCGTCGAATACAATACGTATAATAAATCTATCGTCTATAACAAACATTTCAGGCACGCAGAACTCACGAAAAGTACAAATTGATAATTTTTTTAAATGATCAATGATATACCACTCGAATACGTATCGAAAATCATATTGATTATGATCCAAAATTGTCATGTCATGACTTTCTCGTTTTTTCGCGTGCATTCTATTATTTTTCATGCGTTAATTTTATATACTTCGTTTCTCTAAAAGTCATAAACTTTCTCGTTGCTTTGCAGATCTTTTACAACGACAACAATGTGCCAAAATGCGTTGATACAGCGACAACGCGTGTACCTGTCTCTCTGTGAAACTTATCTATAAGAATCACTCGTTCGATCGTAAAGAAAAAGAAAAGACTTTTCCTCTCTTCCTTTTTCAATCTTCACACTGCCTCGTCCAAAGCAAAAAATGAAAAACGTAACAAGAAAAAAAAAAAAGAAAAGAAAAAAGAAATAAAAACAAAACTTAGCATGTTGTGCATTTTTCTCGTTCGATAAAAAAAAATTCCGTTTCTTCGTCGTCTCTGTGTCGCGTCCGTATTAAAAGAGCAAATGAAAAAGACAATTTTTACGCAAGGTCTCACGTATCGTATCGAAGAGTGAAAAAAAAAAAGGAAAGAAAGAAGGAAGTTAGAATCCGATGCTGGAGGGATAAGGAGGATAATTATTACTGTAATCATTACTATTATTAGAAACACTCCTGCCACACCGCACTCTAGATTCCACTTATAGATTCCACTTATAGGGGTCTTTTTCATTCCGATGAGAAAAATCGTTTTGATGTTTGTAATAGAATAATAAAAGAGAAAAGGAAAAGACAGAAAGAGAGAAAGGATTATCAGAAAGAAAACGAACTTGAGTATGTAGCTAATTATTCGAAGAAAAAAAAAAAGAAAAAGAAAAAAAAATTAAAAACTAGCTGTAAACCTACATTCATGTTTCTCTCTAATGGTTCGACCCTTAAGGTAAACTCTTCTATCCTGTAAAGTATTTGCTCACTTCGATAAGGAATTGATGTACATATTAGATCTCGGTAGATAGTAAATATGCCGTGATCCGAGGGATTTTTGTATCCATGGAGACCCAAACTGTATGTCTTCGAATAAAAATTAGATCATGAATATATTCGATAATGATGATGAACGAAGAATAATCAAAGAGAAGGAAAAGGATACTTAGTCTCATGGATACATAAGATGTTGAATGAAAAAGACCCTAAACCGACAATCCTCCATTAGATAGTCCTTAAACATGTGCGTGTTAGTGACTGGGTATGAATGCGTATGGAAAGTATTAATTTGTAAGACGATGGATAGGAAGGAAGCGCCCTATTTTAGTTATATATCCTCGATATTGTTATGTACTTTCCTTTTGATAGTAAGTATAATGCGAGCCTCCTTTGCTCGATGAGTGGTATCAGAATGCTAACGGCAGTATCGAGATTCTTTTATTTCTTGTGTATAAATAGTAGAACATAAAACTTTTTCTCTAATCAAATTTCAAGCTCCTTTTAGTAAAACAAAGCTTAGTAAATCAAAATATGAAATCTTAAAATTTAGAATATTAGTAAGTATATTACTGTCGTTGGTATCCTTTCTCACTCGATTTGTTACTCTTATATCGTTAACAATGGTCCTCCTTTCTGCGTGATCTCCCATTATGCTGATGCGTTAAGAG